AACTGGTTCATGCGGCAAACTGAAGCTTCTTTTTTCCCATCACCACATACTGGTGTCCCCATTTTCCCCCACGCTTTCAATATACCCTATTTTTACCCCATATTTAATTCCTTGCTTTTACAATGATTCATTCCTGTTCATTTTAATCTTACCTTCCCTATTTGACAAACCTCTAAACTTCTTGGAACCTTTTTTTCCTCCTCGTTTCCTCTTCATCACTCGTTGTTTCATTCAGGCTTTAGTCGCTCCATCAAAGTTCAACTCACTTTCTCGCATCTTTAAATGATATGTTCACATAACCGTTCTTTTGCTTTTCCTTTATCCTTCCACTCTTGCTCACCATGCACCCAAATGTAATCCTCCATTCCACAGCTGCCATCTTGCAGAACCCCAAGAATCATAAATCTGGTGCAACACCAAGATGCGGGTTACTGGGAGACACTTAACCATCTACAGTAACATTCCTGTGAGGCTCTTACCCCTTCCAGAGTGTTGCTTGATGCTCACAGACATACACAAACATCGCCGTGCACACGTAGTGGATGAGTGGGATTGAAACAGAGGAGCCTAAGTATAAGTCTGCGTTATTACAGCTCATGTTCTTGCCTCTAATCAATCCAGGTTGTTGGATTTGAGCTCAGGGGAAACAAAGAGGGCTTTCTCTCACTAAGACAAAACAGTACTTCTGCTTTGCCCTGTTTCTTTCTCCGTGAACCCACACCCATCAGTCTGGTGCCTGCCAGCAAGTCTCTGGAGCTTGTTATTCTTGTGTGTGTGTGTGTGTGTGTGTGTGTGTGTGTCCATGCGCGCGTGCGTGAGTACATATGTGGTGAGTGTGCCAACAATTTCTGGTTTGAGTTAAGCTATAATGTCTGTGACTTACGCTGCTATTTGTTAGACTTCTGTAATGCATTGTTAACATTTCTGACTTCAAACAAGAAGTAGAAAAACTAACCCATAAAACTGTTTGATTTTTTTTTTCCTCCCCTCTGGGTCTGCGGAAAGACATTGACTGCATCAAAAGTTTGTCATCAAAACCACACCGCAGAAAATATGCAGCTTTGTGAATGCATCAGTCAAAAGCGATTTGCATGTAGACTGAAATCACACTCATACAAAATAGCTTATGCCATTCCCACAAAATGACACACTCTCTTTGGGGGTCCAAAACAAATATCTTTCAGATGATGGCTGCCTTTAAAAAAATTGGACAGTCTTCATTACCAGCTTGACACTCGGTACGTCAAAGAAATCACACTCGATGGATCCAAATCTGTTTGGACAAAACACACCACTAAGCGACTTCTCTTTCTTAAACCCAAATCGCTGGGTCACAAATTAGCTGTCAGTCAGCAGGCATCGTATCAGGGATGATGCCGTTCCCCACGAACTGACAACATGTCAATCACACACAAACGCAAACTCGCTGCCATTGACAAGACAAGTTACACAGGAAAAGGCAGACATAGCAAAGCACAATAACTTGTGATGTTTCTTGCTTTCAAGTGACTAACAACTGTTTTCTCCGTTCAGTCGCAGTGACTCCTGCAAAGCACTAGGGAAAGGATATTGAGCTGAGGGCTCTGCCTCTAAAGTGCCCGCTAATTAATATGCATTCTCGATGTATATCATAACTTCGTGAAGCAACACTCATCTCGAAAAAAATGAACTGTTTAAGAACCAGATGAATGTTTGGAAGGATTCCACTCGACAGTAATTTCCACTGATGTTAATTTGTGTCTGAACAGTTTGTAAATTTAAAATATTAACAGAGAGACAACAAAGCAAGAAGGTCGAAACCCAGAAAAAATTATAATAATAATCTTGATTGAGTTATTTCACACAGTATGAATATACTTGTGTTTGCTTCAGATGCGGCCAAAACACAATAACATGCTTCATTTGTAACTTTATTACTGTCGCCAGTAAGACATTCTGTACCACAGCAAACTGAGTCCATCCCGCAGTTCATTATAATCGCCAGACTTCTCGACCGATTTCAAAACCTCCAGTCACATAACGCAACAGGATAGAAGATAATTCAATTCAATGAAATTATTTAAGTGGTGGATGATATTTCCCTACCAGAAGTTCAATCACATTTTGCTCTGGTGTTGCAGAGAAAAGATATGAATATTTTATATATAGCTCTCAAACTAGCATAGCCAGTAAAATCTGTTAAAAAAAAAAAAAAGCAATAAGGCTGTTCCTTTCATTGGGTGTGGTACTGAGGGACAAGCAGAGCACATACAGCAACGTGGCCCACTTCAAAGGTGACCGGACACATTCTTTCTTTGTCTCGCAGTTCTGCTCGTGCTATAAATTTGTCACCCAACTGTTGACATCGCTTGCAGTATGCTGCGCTCAGAGTGTACATTGTGAACAAGAACAAGGTTGTGCACTTTGTCACGTCTGAACGCACATACACTCACAATGGTGGCCAACGAGTCATAAAGCAATAAAGCTCTATGGACCCCCAATGAAAGTAAAGCTGAGGGGGAGAGGCACCATGCTCTGATGAATAACAATCGCTGCAGTGTGTGTGTGTGTGTGTGTGTGTGTGTGTGTGTGTGTGTGTGTGTGTGTGTGTGTGTGTGTGTGTGTGTGTGTGTGTTTGAGGTGGTATGTAGGTGGGGGAAGGGCCTGCCAACTTCTCTCTTCAGCGCAAGTGAAAGCAAACTCACATAATGTCTCTGTGTCTACTCCGCCCCTCTGGAAAAGGAATCCACAAAATCGCTCCTAATTGAATATGTGACAATGAGTGGGCAGACGAGGCGACAGATGCTCGCGTGCCTTTACAAGGAAAGAGCCAGCATCATGCACACATGCGTGGACACCAGCATTCCTCTCGACTTCAATCTGGAATGGGGTGCAGGGTCTGTCTTGGGGGAGGGGGGGAAGTGGTCAGTCCAACACAAAGATCACCACCACGCTAACACCACTTATCACTTTAAGACCACAAATTATGAAATACGGTGGCATGAACAGGACAATGTTTGTGCTGTTATATGCATCTGTGCATATGGTATATCCGAGCTGCACGCAATTGTTCTCCCATGTTTGAACTTAAGTTCTAGAAAATATAACATCCCTGCACCTGCTGCAGAAGATGAATATGTTTAACCTAATTATTGCTGTTCCAACGCATCAAATGGGTTTTGTTTGTTCGGCTCCTCTGGTTATGCAGCGTGCCTAAACGTATTAAGCCTCCATCTGCTTTTTACTGAGATGATGCGCCCCTCTATACGTTAATTGTTTTATTCTGCACACGGTTTAACACCCATACCCCCTCTAACTCTGTCGCTTTCTTTTGCTCCCTTCTTCTTTCATATCAACCCAAGAGCTGACTTTGTTCCCCAAATGTGATTAGTTTCTCTGGGACGCGAGAAGTAATTGCATTACTGCATTGAGAGCATTTTGAGCCATGGAAATGTTGGGCGCCTGCATCAAACCTGTTTAAATACCAAACGCGCGAAGCTGAATAATGGGCATAAAAGAGAATGAATGCTAATGTTATGCAGACAGACGTAGAGTCTGGTGTTGAATCGACATTCAGTCTGGAACAAAAGACAAAATATATTTTGTACCAATTGAAGGTGTTTCATGGTCACAAGTTTGTGTTATTGTGATACCTGCTACTAAGCTAATGTACCTTTTGTATAATGCACAAATGCTGTGTGTGTGTGTGTGTGTGTGTGTGTATATATATATCTATATATATATATATATAGATATAGATATAGATATAGATATAGATATAGATATATATATAGATATATATATATATATATATTAGTGTTGAGATTCATGCAATTTGTGCTGATGGCAATTTTTGTTGGGTTAATTATGCTCCTGTTCCACAATTTTAAGTGTCGCTGCTGTTTTCGTATTTCCTTCCAGACTTGAACCTTTCTCATCTTTAGTGTTGTTTGAATAAGAGTTATATTGTCACTGATCATAGGCAACTGATATCCAGATGAACTGTACTCAAAATGTGCCTCAAAATCAGCAAAAGCAAGTACGAACAAAATATGACTGCTTGAATGACTGCTTGGTGTTTTAAAATCCTCCATGACAGCTAATTTCCTCACATTTGTGCGCGGGCTCGAGGCTCCGCTGAAGTCTTGTTTCGTCGGCTCTTATCATTGGGTTCTGGTGCCAAACATACCGCACAGATGCTATCCAGAATGCCCGGTGCCCATTGCGCAAATTCGCCAAAGCTCTCTCACCCATCTCTACGTGAATTTGACAATGGGGATACATAACAACGCTTAATGGCTTTTTTTGTGTGTGTGCTGTATCCATTATCGTACGTCCATCCTGTTGGGGAGTTTGGAGTGTTGATGAATAGACTTTTGCACGAGACTAGAAGTGTTCCACAACGTGACCCAATATTTAAATGTATCCATTAGACGCCACTCTAATACGATTTGCCACACAGCTTAACAGGCTTCTACTCTCCCACAACAACAGGTGATGCGAAAGTATAATAGGCTGTAAAAACCCTCTCAACAAAGACTACAGAGGGATAGAGGGCCAAGTGTGGACTGCAACTTCAGATGAGATAACTAACAGACCTTCCAGGACTTTCTTTTACACATTAGTTGGGCGACAGCTGCTCATGGCTGAGCTATGAAGTGTCCCCAGCCAGTCTGAGTAATGGTTCTCATAATGATTGAATTGACCATGTTTAGAGTTTTTTTTCTTTTGGAAATTAAGACAAAGGTTGTGCTTCCTTACTGATGAGGGGAACAGACCTAAAGTGGGACTCCTAGGTCCTCCTGTTGTTTTATAGTATAGTGAAAACGTCACAGTGTATAAGAACTATAAATGAATGTATTCTTAGACATGTTTAGTTTATCGCTTGTCAGTGGGGTGGAGGTGGTGGTGGTGGTGGTTTTGGTTACTGTGTCAACTCCAGCATGGCGCCTCCCTTCTCTTATTTTCTTTGCATCCCCTCTTGCGCCCCCAAGCCAGTATTAGACTGAAGAAGAAGCTAATGTAGCGCTTAGTTGAGGCGGGTTCTTTTGAGTGAGTCTCAGTGCAAATACGCCTTAGCGAGGGAGAGGGAGAGAGAGAGAGTGGAAGAGAGCTTAGGCGCACGGGCGCAAGAAGGGAGGGGAGCTGGAGAGAGAGGCGCGCACTCTTATGCGAAATCGATGCGTGCAACAGATCTATATGACAGCGGACTAGGGGTATTTTTAATCTAAATTGGCGCAACTCAGCCAGTATTGCATATGAATGTATTCTTTTTGTGTGTGTCAAGATCGAGGAGCAATGCAACGGGGAGCACCCCATCCAGTTGCCTAAATCAAAGCTGGAAGTGACCGCCTCAACATTTTGGAGCTCCTTTTTGCTTGATTTCGACCACAAGAGGACATGATGACGGGACTCTTTGAAATGAGAATGTGGGCACTTTTCATCGTTTTCACTCTGTCAGCGCCTCACGTCACCGGTAAGACACTGCGATATCAGATTTTTGAGGAACAGAAGGTTGGCACCGTTATTGCTCGTTTAAAAGATGATGTCGCGGATGTTCTGGCTAAACTTCCAACCTCGGTGTTGCTCCGCTTCCGAGCCATGCAAAGAGGGAGTTCATCCTTTCTCACGGTGCGCGAGCAGGACGGAGAAATAAGCATCAAGTCCAGAATCGATAGAGAAAAACTTTGTGAAAAGAATCTCAACTGCTCGATCCAATTCGACGTGCTCACGTTGCCCACGGAGCACCTGCAGCTTTTTCACGTCGAGGTGGAAGTGTTGGACATCAACGACAACGCGCCACAGTTTTCCCGTGCCGTCATCCCAATTGAAATATCCGAGAGCGCGTCCGTCGGAGCGCGCATTCCCCTGGACAGCGCCACGGACCCAGACGTGGGCGAAAACTCCCTGTACAGCTATGCTTTAGAGCCCAACAATGTTTTTAATATTGAAATACAGTCCAGAACCGACGGGGCGAAATATGCTGAGCTGGTGGTACTCCGGGAGCTGGATCGGGAGGTGCGCTCCAGTTATGAACTTCAGTACACGGCTTTTGATAGGGGTGTTCTCTCCCGAACCGGAACCACCCTGCTTAAGATCAGCGTTGCAGATTCAAATGACAATAGCCCGATCTTTGACAAGTCCTCATATGTAATAAACCTTCCCGAAAATTCACCTGTTGGAACACTGTTAATTGACTTAAACGCCACTGACGCAGACGATGGGATGAATGCCAAAATAGTCTATTCGTTCAGCAGTCATGTTTCCCCCAAAATCATGGAGACATTCAAAATTAACCCTGACAGTGGTCACCTGACCCTCATTGCTCGTGTAGACTACGAGACTGCTAATTCCTATGACATTGATGTGCAAGCGCAAGATATGGGTCCAAACTCCATGCCAGCTCACTGCAAGATCCTGGTGAAGGTGGTTGACGTAAACGACAACAAACCAGACATTAGCATAAATATAATGTCCTCGCAGGGCAACGGGGATGCAGCTTATATATCAGAGGCTGCTCCTCTGGACACATTTGTAGCTTTAGTAAGGGTGGAGGACTTGGACTCCGGTTTGAATGGCGAGGTGGAGTGCAAGCTTCACGGTCAAGGTTATTTTAAACTCCAGAAAACATACGAAAACAACTACATGATTTTAACGAATGTGTCTCTGGACCGAGAGAAGAGGTCAGAGTTCAGTCTGACAGTTGTGGCAGAGGACCGAGGCACTCCGAGCCTCTCCACAGTCAAACACTTCACTGTGCATGTCACTGATGAAAACGACAACCCTCCACATTTTGAGAAGGGCCAGTTTGAGATCTTTAAATCTGAGAACAATGCTCCGGGGGCATATTTGACCTCCATCATGGCAACAGACCCAGATCTGGATGTCAATGGACAGGTGATCTACTCCATCCTGGAGAGCTCAATTCACGGGAGCTCCATTTCTACGTATGTCACCATTGACCCCTCAAATGGTGCCATCTATGCGCTGCGTACATTTGACAGGGAGGACGTGAGTCGCATCTCCTTTACAGTGCAGGCCAAAGATGCTGGAAAGCCACCGCTGCTCAGCAATGCCACCATTGTTCTAAACATCCTGGATGAGAATGACAATCCTCCAGTGATTGTGGTCCCCCAGCTGTGGAACTTTAGTGCTGATGTTCCACTGTCAAAGTTCACTGAAGCCGGACATCTTGTGACTGTGGTCAGGGCAACTGACCGTGATACGGGGATCAATTCTGAGCTTGTTTGCTCCATCGTCAGTGGCAATGAAGAAGGCTTCTTCATTATTGATCCGAGAACCTGTGAAATTCACGCCAACGCCAGTCTGGAGAACTTCCCTCATGACCATGCTGAGATAACTGTTGTGGTGAGGGATCAAGGAAGCGAGAGCCTCAGTGCCAAAGCAGTTCTAAGGATCAACCTCTATGAGAATATGGAGAACCATGTCCAACTGATGGACCGAGGGGAGTCTCCACTTGATGCATCACTGATTATCATCATCTCCCTTGGGGCCATCTGTGCCTTGCTACTGGTAATCATGGTGGTGTTTGCTGCTCACTGCAACAGAGAGAAAAAGGAGACAAGGCAATCTTACAACTGCCGGGTCGCTGAGTCGACCCACCAGCACCACCCCAGGAAGCCCTCACGGCAGATCCACAAAGGAGACATCACCCTGGTTCCCACTGTGAATGGTACCCTACCAATCAGATCCCATCACCGTTCGCCTTCAGCTACACCCCCCTTGGACCGAGCCCAGATGGGGAGCAGGCAGAATCACCACAGTCGCCAATCCCTTAACAGCCTGGTGACAATCTCATCCAATCACATTCCGGAGAGCTTTGCCCTGGAGCTGGCACATACAACTCCACAGGTGGAGGTGAGTGCATGCGCACACATGCTTGCTCGCTCAATCACTCACTCACACACACACACACACACACACACACACACACACACACACACACACACACACACACACACACAAAGTGTGTGTGATAGAATTTCGTTTGTAGTTTTGAAGTAACTCTCATTTAAGTGTATTGATAGTTACAGCCCTTTGTCTTTACTTTGTTTGCACCGTGTCCCAATCCATGCTAACCCTGAGTCATCTGTCTCCAAATTCACCGAGATTCACTCTCTCAACGAGCAGGCACCCCTTTTTTTGTTTAACACCGTCCATTTTGTGTCATCCATATTGAGCAGCCTCTCCATCATTCATTTTGTGTACTCATCCATTTTTTGTCTTCTGTCTTGTCTTCTCTCTCTTTCTCTCTCTCTCTCACTCTCTCTGTCTGTCACCTTTATTTACCACCCCGACCCTTTTCATTTTCCCCCTATTTTTTGTTTATTTGTTTTGTTATTTTTGGATACAGCAAGTCTCACAGCTTCTGTCCATGCTCCATCAGGGCCAGTACCAACCCAGACCCAGTTTCCGTGGCAACAAATACTCTCGCAGCTACAGGTAATCCCTCGGCCCCAACACTGCCAATATATTTTTATTCACCTTTTAAAAAACACTTTGTTGTCTTTGATTTACATCTGTGAGACATCTTCAACAACCTATTGCATAGTTTGTCTTCTTTTCCATATTCCAAATGTCAACATACATACCAACGCCATTCACTTTCCAAAGTATTCAGCTCATTTGTCAAAATGTCCCATTTAGTTCTCGACTGCCCCTGGAACAAATTTGGAGTATGGAATTATTACGACTTTTTCCTGCTTATCACATCACTTGATCGACTTATCGATGTTTGATAGCTGTCGTCACATATTTACTTATCAGACCTAATTTCAGGAAGTAGAAATGGGACAAGATAGGCTCCAACACACCCGCGACCCTCCTGAGGATAAGCGGATTACAAAATGAATGGATGAAATGGGACAAGCTTGTTTGGAGATTTAACAGTTGCAAAAAAATGAATTTGACTACTTAAAATGTTTCATAAAACATAACACGGGGCATTCCAATTTACAATTTTCCAGGCATTGAACTTGCACTTTTTGTAATGGTTCTATCTAGGTATGCATTACAAGACATGGACAAGTTCAGCCTAAAGGACAGTGGACGTGGGGACAGCGAGGCGGGGGACAGTGATTGTGAAATGGGGAGAGAATCCCCCGTGGACAGGCTGCTTCTGGGGGAAGGCTTTTCTGACCTGATACATCTCGAAATGCACCACCGCCTTCATCCAGGTAAGCTACCTTGATGTAACACACGGATTCTGATCGTTTTCCTCAGCCCGTGTCTTTTTGCAACTGTTCGGATGGCTCTGCTCTCCTGAGTCACAAACGTCCAACACCCTCACATGCTCCTCACGCCTGACAACACAATCACACCTCCAATTAATTTTGTCATGCAAAAAGTGTTGCAGACATCGTTTTAGCCACTTGGAATAGCATATGCAGAGAATGACTAAATGTGTTTTGAATTTGTTTTTTTCAAATATGAGAACAGAACAGAAGGAAAATGTAGACTTGAAGCAATCCCTAATGCAGAGACAGCCAGAAAGAGATGCGCAAGTACGTATGGACATCCAAACATGTGAGATGGCATTTTCCATATTGAATTTTAATTGCTGCCGCTTGCAATCTGCATTGGATTTGGATGAAACTCGGTTTGCATGGTGAACTTTTGACTCTGCAAAGCAGATTTCATTCAAGTATTTTAAGGTGTGAAACAGCTTTATTGCCCACCATGAGAAATGTGATAAAAAAAAAAGCCGTAATTGGAAGAATAAAATATTCATGGTGCCCATCATCAAAACAAAGTGACTTATCGATACCCAACCATGGAAGTAGGACACAAATAAAGTTAGACAGGAAAGCATACAAACCTCCTCGGCAGATGTAACATTATTGTGGAAGTGAACTGAATTGAGCTGTTTCCTTTGCACTGCTCCTTGCAATTTTGTGGACATGCCGTCTGACAATTTTTAGCACTATGGACAGGTCAGGCCTGAGCCAACTAATAGCCCATACGCCTGCCTATACAGCCATTCAGCACGCTGAAAACACAGTCCCATTGTACTCTGCCCATTCTTCCACACAGACTCTATTTTCTCGCTTGTTATCACACCGAGAGAGGTTACAGTGTGCCGGTCTGTTTGTGTCATTCTGCACGTGTGTGTGTGTATGTGTGTGCGTTATCTACGCCCCAAGTCGTGTCTGTAAAATCCTCCCCGGAGCGGAGATGAGTCGCTTGTCACTCATCGCTATGCGTCTCAGGGTGCTGTTTTTTTTTCCCCCCCCTTTCCTCCATTTTCTTTCCTTTTTCCCCCCTCCTCTTTTGAGTGACAGTGTTGCACTTTCATGTTTGAACTGAAGAGAATTCACAGTAATTGCTTTTAGAATTATGTTATTCTCTCGCGCACTCACTCTCTCCCTCTCTCACCCATTGCAACCCGGAGAGCTTCGCCATATACATGTCTTTTTGCTGTACATCTTAATTGTGATGTATAAAGGGAGGGGTGGTGGACAAAAGTGTCTATCAATTTAAGTGACTTCCACTCCCCATCTCCAATCTTTTTTTTTTTTTTTTTTTTTGGTGGCAATATGTAAAAACAAATGTGAATGAATGGGGAGGATTACTGTATCTTGATTTCTCTTCAATAGATTTAATTTGTTTGGATTTTCAGTCGTGCTGGATACGATAAAGCAAAACAATCCCTGCTTCACCCTGAATATGTCAAAGATGTGGGTAATATGATAGGAAGATCAGTCAGATTTGAATTTATCAGCCACCTTTGATGCCAGATGGAAGGAATCTAGCAATTAATCATTTTGTTATCTCGTGATTGTTTTCTTATCTGCCACAATATTCCTATCGTAGCCTGTAAATAGCACCACTGTGCTCATACTGATAGAAATATGAAAGGCTGCAGAGAAAAGGGAGGGAAAACAATTACCCAGCTGTGGTTTAAGAATAAGACAGAACCACCCTGTGAAATATTGAACAGGCATCGTACATTAATATTCCAAAATGAAAAGTGAATACATTATTTCCGCTTTTCATGCAGAAAAAAACAAAAAACACGAGGACAACCACTGTTGAATTGCTGCAGCTTCTGAATAGCATTTGTCCCTATTCCACTCCCGAATTTTGTACATGTATTCAAGATGACAGTGAAGTCGTACTCCCAGTGTGATGCTTCGGATGGATCTGACTTTCCTGATTTTGCAGTGAGCACTTGTTTATAAATTAGTTTTCCTCTCTATGCATCATAAGGGTCACGAGGACACTCTCTTTTGTTGAATAAGCTCCTGATGGTTGTCACTGTTGTTTTCCTCTAGCAATGAGGCTGTGCACGGACGAATGCCGGGTCCTGGGACACTCTGACCAATGCTGGATGCCTCCCGTCTCCTCTCCAACGTCCTCCTCAGATTACCGCAACAACATGTACATCCCAGGGGAAGAGTCTTCCCAGCAACCCCAAATTGATGATGACCAGTCCTCGGAAGAGTCAGAACAACTCAAGAGTTTCTCCACCTTTGGCAAAGAGCAAGGGAGTGAGGAGGCGGGGCCTGCGAGAGTCGCTGCTGCAGGAGGAAGTGATGTGTGCCCACCTGCAGGAGCGGCTGGTTCGCTCCTCACTGAGATGAACAGCGTCTTCCAGCGGCTCCTACCCCCGAATATGGACACATATAGTGAGTGCACTGAAACAAACCCAACGTCATCATCGTCAACCGGCGAGAAAGGAAGCGGACGCGGTGGCAGCATTTCTGGTAATCAGAGCAACAACGCTGTTCCTCAGGATAGCCGTAGAGGCTTGTTACCAGGTGGGAAGGGTCCCGCTTACCCGCCGGGTGTGGCCACGTGGGCTGCCAATACTCACTATCTAAATCCAGGAAGTGGATCTGTGGGGAACAACCACGTTTCCCCAGCCCCTCCCTCATCCTCCAACTCCACCAACGGACAGCCACCACACCTCAAATGGCTCCCTGCCATGGAAGAAATTCCAGAGAACTATGAGGAAGATGATTTTGACGGTGTGTTCTACCAGGCTGGCAAACGTGGTGAGAACCGCCAGGAGACTGCCATGGATGCGAGCGAGCTAGTCCACGAGATCAACAAACTACTGCAGGACGTCAGGCAGACCTAGAGAGTGAAATACATAACATGGTTTCCTCCGAGTTATTTGACCACTTTCTAAAGAAACTCAAACGTGCAAACATACATAATCAATAAGACGAACGTGTTGTACTCATTGTAATGGCTGTGTTGTTTGTTTTACCAAATATCTTCTCACCACTCTGAGATGAGAGACTTGAAGAGTAAAACTCTGCACTGTAAAGGAAGCGGCGCAATGACCGACAGCCTCTACAATTGTTGTTGTGTTTGTAGGTGATTTTGAGGGAGAATCCACCGACGGACTCCCGATTCATCATTTGTACTGTTTACAGATGCCAGCAGGAGAACTGTTGCGTGATCTCATCTTACAATGTACAACAAATGTACACTGTCTGTGAGAAAAAGACTGCTTCACTTGAATATTGTGCTTCGTCTCATGTTTTGTTATCATGGAATGTAACTGTACAAATGGATCTTTGTATTTTAAAAATACACTCTTTTGTATTTCTATATATTTATATGTGTCCATGTATGTTTGTACAGAAAAGAAAAAAAAGCCGTCTATTTTTTTATATTGTCTCTGCATGTCTAAATATTCGGTGTGTCTCTCGTTGTTCTTCTTTGTTTACTTTTATAAAACAATTGTATTTAATTTTGTATTGAATGTCTGTGAGCACCATTTCACAAAATCACATTCCAATGAAGTAGAAGTGTTGAAATATGGTTTTGTACAGTGTCCTTATGACAAAGACGAATAAAGTAGAACAATCCATAATGTCATTTGGGCCAAGTGTTTTAATTTTCGAACGTCCTGACGATGTCACTTTCAAATTCCACTCGTTTCAACTTGTATTTCCTCTCGCCAGGCTTCGTTTTGCCCCTTTGTCTCTTAGCCCCTCCTAATGTTCACCATGTGAACTGCATCATTTTTCCTCAATATTAGCAGTGCCCGCAGACTGTACAACAATTCGCAAGCATCACTCCACGAATAGACACGTAATTCCTAAATAAGCATTATTCACAAATGTCATTTTGGAATACCTATTTAAATTTCCTTCCACAAATGTGCTATATTCTTCCTTCAGCAACTGTAAATGTGCTGCTCCACATGAAGTGACAAGCGCTGCCATTTGAACTTATAATTCAGTTCAATTGAAAAGAAAGTTTGCGTGCATGTGTGTGTGTGTTCGTGTGCGTGTGTGTGCGTCTGACTTGCTCTGTTTACTCGTGGGTGCTTATTTTTTTTTCAAAACATTCGTGCGCGCACATACGCAAACGTACACAATTGACATATCTGAGGATAAAACATCGAGTTGTTTTTACAAGAAGCAAAAACCAACAACTTCGGCCAAATAATGCACTTCAACATCATTAGACAGAGCTCGAACAAAGGTGAAGTTTACAATTTGCATGCGCACACAGGCACGCGCGGAGCCTGATGTGAATCGGCCCGACACGAGAGCACACACACACACACACACGCACACACGCACACACACACGCACACACACACACACACACACACACACACACACACACACACACACACACAGACGCACGCACACACACACGCACACACCACACACACACGCACACACACACGCACACACACGCGCACGCACACGCAGACGCACGCACGCACACAACGGCCGACGCACGCACGCACTCACATAGATTTATTAATGAGCTCATTTGTCTTCATCATTAAAAAGACCAAGCCTCAATAATCAGCAATGACACTGTGTGTGAATGTTCTAAGCATGCTAGATTCTCAATTAGCTCAGCTTTGTCAGGGATTTGATGGCTGTTAGCATCTGGGGGGACTGTTGTTTACTATGGCATGTCCAACTTTCAAGTATATGTGTAGACTTCAGTATGCATTCACTAGATTCATTCGTACGACTGTGACAATCTTTTACTTTTCATCTGCCAAAGAAAAGCAATTAAATATTCAGTGTTCTATATAAGCTTGATTTTCAAATTTGAACACAGGCGGCGTGAGTAAATTTACATTTTAAACAGTGTTGCAAAACAAGCGAAAAGACATCTAAAAATGAGCCAATGGAGACATGATGGATGATCTTTAACAACAAGAAATATCTTTGGTTTTGGGTAATGGAGTGTGTAATAGAAAAAAAAGAAAAGAAAAAAAAAACATTGGATGAAATATTTGGTGGGGCTGATTTATTACCGTGGAGGTACAGTAATTAATTTTACACAAATAGCTACGACAGTCACATTGATAGGATATTGAAATATAACCTCCACCTTATCATTGTCTCTGCAAATCCTACATTATTTGTCAGTCCCAGACTCACTTGTCTTCAACTCATGCCCATTTATAAACCCGTTTTCTTTGGTCTTTCTCATCTTCCAGCTCTTGCCGTCCATCCATTTTTTGACAGACATGCATTTGCATGCACGGTCTGTGCTTCCTTCAGTCTGTATCTCATCACTTACCACATTTTCATTTCTTTTTTAATCCCTTACTGTAATCGTGTTTTGAAATGCCTCCCGCTGAACTATTATAATGTCACTCATGTAATACTGATGTGTTTCATGACAAAACGGCACACTCTTAGCTGTTTGAAATGTCTTGTCTCACTGTTAAACAGGAAATTAAGACGGCGATGGCCTCTGTAATTTTGATTTATGGGAAATCTCAACTAGACAGCAGTTTTCTTGTGAAGTCGAACACAGCATGGTGAACCAACTCTCCAGCAAACAGGATATTAGAAAGTGTGATATAAGCAGTGCTACATGTGCATCACTGTGATAAAACTACTGGGGTTGCGATTTAATGTTTGCTTTTGTTCATCTTATAATATTATATGCTACATATCTATTTTATTTTTTTATTTTATTTATTTTTTTACATTTTATTATATTGTGCAGCCTCCATCAAATTATCATGTCCATTCCTCTCTGCCTTGCATCGTGGTAATGCAGCAACATTACTTTATATGCTTGATTAGTAAATATTACTTTGGGATAGGGGGTAGTTGCCAAACATTATTGTGGGCTTGTCAGCATGGCGTGACATACAAACATTTTCAGGTATCATGACGTGGTACACTTGGAAAAAAAGAAAACCAGGAACGTGTTTTTTTTTCCCCGTCAGAAATTCCAAGTCACTTTTGCAAGGAGAGTTTTGGACTAGGGTTTACTTGGACAGTATTAGTTTATTAAAAAGAAAAAGTCACTCCAGAGTTGAGGAATGAAGCCACCATACTCTGATTGGGAGATGGCCACTTTACCACCTGAGCCAAGCCGCTCCTACTGTGTGTTTGTAAATCACTGGTGTCAGGCGAAATATATCTCCGAGACCATTTTTGGGGTCTCGTTTTGGAGACACCAGTAATATACTAATACACAGTAGGAATGGCACGGCTCAGGTGTGAGAGTTAAGTTTGAGGGTTTGTTGATTTAAAGCCTAGGATATTCTTTTTTTTTACACCTCTCCCGACTAATATCTTTGAACAATGGGATCCTGCTGATGCTGGAAGCTCTCTTGAAACCATTGTAAGATGTGACTACCAAAATAAAAGGAAAAGCCTACTAGAACAGCTGTGCCTAATTAGGGTTGATCAGAGTCATTTTTAAATGGCGGCAGGTCCATGTTGACTGTCAACGAGAATGCGTGAGTTTAATTTGACATCTCCAATAAAAATATTCTTTTTTTTTCCAGTTTAGTTATGCGGGTTCAATGTCATACTGTATCACAAAAACCTGGTATTTGAACAAGGGTGCGTCAACCTTTTTGATGCACTGTAGCTTCCCTTCAGCTCCTTTGAAACTGGGTTTGCTGACTGTGTTGATTGTGTTGACAGGAATAAATACATAACTAAAACACGGGGGATATATACGACTGTCTAAATTGTGTGAATAAATTTGGTGATGGGTGCCCTTTTTTTGACTTGAGAAAATGTTTGTGCATATGTGCCTGACAGCAAAGCGACCTTGTGAGTGACTGGTAGTTAGAATATGTGCTTTATATATCTGACACAATTATTTTTCGACAATTTACACTGCACATACTGTGTACTGTGAGCTTATTCCAATGTTCTCAACCATCCCGGTTTTTATAAGCCACGTGCAGAGGCCATTCATTAATGTAGAATAAAGATCAAGAGGATTGAAAAATAATGTAACAGTAGGTATACCTGCATCATCTGTTTAGCTAATGCAAGGGCAAAGTCAGACAGCTGTCATACTGGACCTCATTAGATTGTGCAAGTGTGCATAATGTGGTGGCTCCTGAACGTGAACTTTAATTAAGGCTACTTCAGCTATTTTAAATTACATTGCAATAGATTCGTCCAGCAGATGGCACTGTGGTTCTTACCTTCCCACATCGGGGAATTTCCTTTCATGCAATTCAGCCTTCACTTCATGCCATACATTCAGTTTCAACAATGCTGGGGGGGCTAGTGAAGGGACAGAGCAATCCTGTCTTCTTAATTGTGTTCAATTCAGACGGCAATTCTTTCTTTTATTTTGTGATGCCCAGGCGCGTTGTCTTTCTTTGAGAGTGAGTGAGCGAGCACATACAGTGGCCTACTAGCTGTCCGTATTATATGTGGAACGGGTGCTGTACAGAATGTTTGGATGAAGGGTGTGACCACCGGTTTGTAGGAGTGCTGGTGAGGCCTCTGTACGCTTGTTCTGCTTGTGTCTGTGTGTATGGGGGGGGAGGGGGGGTAGCTGGGTGTGTTTGCAGTTTCCTCACCCTCTCGCAGTTATCCTCATCCAGCTTGCCATTTAGAGTTGGATCGCCGCCAATCGCTGCATGCTCCATCTCAGTGTTTCTCTTTCTGGCTCTCTCCCCCTGCCTCGCTTTCTGTTTGAACAATTGGATTAGTGCAGAGTGATAGAGACAAAAGCCAAAATCGCACTCTCTCACCCAGTTGCTTGTCCTCGTGACATGTATGATGGTGACACACACAAATGGGAAACGCACATTCCTACACGACACTGCTGTCATTGTATCCTGAGGCTGAGCTACTTTGATATCCAGATGGCTTAATTATTGCAAACACAAAATCACACCCACACACACATACATGCACACGCCTGCACCTACACATCCACACGCACACGAGTGGGCCGTTTTGTGATGGTCCATGACTTCATCTTGTGGCTCCTAGTCATTATTATTATTATTATTATTATTATTATTATTATTATTATTATTATTTTGCTGCTTGTTGATGGTTTGGGGTTAAAATTTTAAAAAGCTGACAAAATTTAGAGATACGATACAGGTTTCTTTTTTGTTTGTTTGTTTTGGAGAGTGACAAAATGTCATCGATGAAACGTGTGCAAGTAGACTATTTTAAACACCCTTGTTTACGAAACAGTACATTTCCACTTACAGTACAGAATTCACTTACTGTATTGATGATCAGTATGAGACTCACAATGGGGAAACCTCATTCTAGATGAAAGAAAAAGAAAAGCAAATGTTCAAACTCTTAATAAATGCAAATGAACCATCCATTTCAAGACATGAGTTGGCTGCAAACACTTTAAAATGGCCTAATGTAAAAATACATTTAAAGAAATAGATAAATAATACTTCAAATGCTTCAATTTAAAAAAAACGGATTAACTGAACAGTCAGTGTTTTAAAGTAGGCACTTTGTGCATTTGTTTTAACACATTTTATGCTTATATTGTGATGCTTTATTGCACACTTTGACCCTACTGTTCAAGTCTTGGCTCACCTCATCCCCCTCTGCTGCAGTGTTCCAAACCAAAAACAGATTTTGGTACCTTGA